CCACACCGAAAGGCCCCATTTTGAAATTTTGCTTCTTTGCCCCCAATCCACCCCACCCCGCCTGCCATCTGTCTTGATTGAGGACCACAAACGGGGCTATATTGAGATTGTCCTGGAGTGTAATTAGCCCATTTGTCTTTTGCAGCAAGTTCCTTCCTTCTTCTCCTTCCTTCCTTCCTTCCTTCCTTCCTTCCTTCCTTCCTTCCTCTCACACAGTACTTTCTCTAATACCCTTCCTTTTTTCCTCTCTCCCCTCCCTCTTCCCTTCTTCATCCATCTCTTTCTCTCTCCCTCTTTCCTACACCATCTGTCACTTTCCTTTTTTCGTTCCTCTTTCCCTGTTCTCTCCCTTTTCTTTCCTTCCCTCCTTGCCTACTCCATCCCAAACCCTTCCTTCCTTCCTTCCTTCCCACAATATTTTCTGTAATATCTTTTTTTTCTTCCTCTTCCTCCCTTTTCCTACCTCTTCCTTTCTTTATCCATCCCTGTATCTTTTCTTTCTCCCACCCCTTCTATCAATTTTCTTCTTTCCTTCCTCTCTCCCCTTTCTCTCCCCTTCCTTCCTTCCTTCCTTCCTTCCTTCCTTCCTTCCTTCCTTCCTTCCTTCCTTCCTTCCTTCCTTCCTTCCTTCCTCTGGTCAAACAGAGCACACAGAGGGAATCAGAAGGCTGACAGCCTCAATTCCAAAAGATAATCTCTCTTTGGCTTTGACAAAGGAGACGAATCTCTACATTAACCTGGTTACCTCTAAAATTTGTCTTTCTCTTCTAATCTCTGGAAGTTCAGTGGGGGGGGGCAAACCAGACCAGGTCTCAGTGCCATTTCCCAAGGAGGCTAACTCTTCCCAGGGACAGAGGAAAAAAACTCAGGGTCCTCCGAGCAGCCGCCCTTGGGCAGCCATGCAATGCTTCGGCAGTGGGGGGGGGTCTGCCTGTCAAGCCCCTTGCCCCATCTTCTCTGCATCCTTCAACAAGTCCCTTGTTCTGCTCTCCCCCAGGGCTTCCTCACTCAGACAGCCCCGGGAGATTTCTCCCATGACCCTCACCCCCCCTCCAGAGTCCCCCCCTCAAAAAACTCCAGCCAGGAATGGGAGACAATAAGCTTGCAATAAGCTTGCAAGCCCCCCCCCCTCTCTTAAAAACAGAGAAGAGAGCTAGAGGGCAGGCAGATCGGAGATGTCAATCAAGAGAGAAGTGCATTTATTTCTTCCCCCCCCAGTCTTTTATTCACCAGATTTTTACCTCCACCACCGCCCCCCCATCCCACCCCAAATTTTTCATCAGCATCCATGGAGGGAGGGTCTGGCTGGGATCGATAGCTCCACAGTGCCACCTGCTGGCCACTAGGCCAAGGAGGGGGGGGAGACAATAAATAGCAATTAAAGCTATTTATTCTACTACTATTTTGGAAGTGAAAGAAATGGGTTTTGGGGTGTGAAGGAACATGGGTCTTTGGGGATTAGCATTGCAGCCCAGCCCTTTCAGCACCTACGAGTGCTTAAGAAGCGACGTTATTATTATTTTTTAAGGGGAGATGCAAACACGGCAGTTCTCCGCTTACCATCATTCAGTTAATGATCGTTCAAACTTACCACGGGACTGAAAAAGGTGACTTAACGACCGGTCCTCATACTTACGACCATTCCCATGGTCACATCATCACACCTGGCGTGTATCTAAGACAGTTGTAACATCCCAGGGCCGTGCGACCCCCCATTTGTAAGCCAAAGCCGGATTTGCTTAGCAACCATGTGATTGATTTAACGACCCCAGTTGATTCGCTTAACAACGGTAGCCCCAAAGATTGTAAACTCGGATGCAACTCACCTATCCGCCTTGCTTAGCAATGGAAGTTCTCGTCCTGACTGCGGTCGTAAATGGAGGACTCTGTTTCCCTTTAAGAAAAATGAAATAACGTAATAACGACACACCTGCGGCTTGGATAATACAATGTATATCATATAAATAATCATAATTTCATTGGAATACTCTCAAAGATGTAGACAAGAAGCTTCCTCAAATCTGATCTGGTCTGCTGCTGGCACTGTCTTGAAAGGTAGACTGCGAAGGTAAATTGCGCCAGTTTGTGGAGGTTTCATTCAAACAGCTGGCCATAGGAAGGAAAAAAAGAAGCTATGTACAGATAGTCCTCAACGTACGACCACAATTCAGCCCAAAACTTCTGTTGCTAAGCTAGAAATTTCTTAAGTGAGTTTTGCCCCGTTTTACGACTTTTCCTGCCACGTTTGTTAAGCGAATCGCCGCGGTTGTGAAATTAGTAACACGGTTGTTAAGTGAATCTGACTTTGCTGGTCAGAAGGTCGCAAAAGAGGATCCCGGGATCCCTGGGATCCCTCGTCATAAATGTGAGTCAGTTGCCAAGCCTCTCAATTTTGATCACGTGACCCTGGGGACGCTGCAACGATCGTAAGTGTGAAAAACGGTCATAATTCACTTTTTTTTCGTGCTGTTGTAACTTCGAAACGTCACTAAACAAACTGTTGTAAGTTGAGGAACTTACCTGGATATAATCAGTGCAAAAGCATGAAGCATCTCCTGATTAAACTTTGAAGGCTGAATCAATTTCCTTTGAATTCAGCTTTAATAATAATAATAATAATAATAATAATAATAATAATAATAATAATAATAATAATAATAATAAAGTTGGAAGGGATCTTGGAGGTCATCTAGTCCAACCCCCTGCTCAGGCAGGAAACCCTACACCATTTCAGACAAATGGCTGTCCAGTCTCTTCTTAAAACCTTCCAGTGTTGGAGCATTCACAGCTTCTGGAGGCAGGTAGTTCCACTGGTTAATTGTTCTCACTGTCAGGAAGTTTCTCCTTAGTTCTAGGTTGCTTCTCTCCTTGATCGGTTTCCATCCGTTGCTTCTTTAAAGCCCAAGAGATTATTTATGTTTGCTTGCAAGAGAATTAGGAAATGGGATGGGAACCCAGATTTTCCTTCTGGAGAAGGAAAAAAGAAGCCCCAAAGACGTGGGGCGGGGTCTTAAGAAGAGATAAATCAGTGGAAAATCAATAATTTAGCACGTTCCCCGCAAACAGGTTGGTCTGTCCCTGGAGTAATCTGTCTTAATAGTTGCTTGTGGAGATGATAAGTGATGAATAATTTAGCACAAACGCGCGCACACTCTCCGGCACTTCACTGCTGTAATTAAAGAATGTGAAACTTCGTTTGTTATACAAAATTATTGCTGAATTATTCAGATCCTGAGTAATTACTAAAACGGCGCAGGAATTCGCCGGCGGGGGGAAAACGGGGCCCTCTGGAGGCGTCACCTGCCAGGAACTGGCAGTAAAGCCAGTTGTGTTTGTGACCTCACAGTTGTGAGGTGTTGCGGGTGTGGTGTGGGAGGGTTCCTTGCCCCCCCCCTAAAAAAAAAGAGACAACCCACGTTTTTTTAATACTGACATACGACAGTGAAATAAGCTCTGCAAACTAATTTGAGAAGCTTGCCAACAGTATCTGCACTGGGATGGGAAGAGTCCGTGTCTAATATAAAGGCAATTATATGTTTATTAATATTAAGCCGGGCGCTGTGCAAATTAAATTAAAGAATGAGATACGATCTTGCGCATTGTGTGCGGGGAATAAAGTTCATTGAACATTGTAGGATAATGATGGTGACAGTGATATTCCTTCTCCTGAAGCGTTTCTCAGCCTTGGCAATTTGAAGCTGGGTGGATTTCAATTCCCAGAATTCCCCAGCCAGCATGCTTTAAGCTGTATGGACTTCAATTCAAAGAAAGAAAGAAAGAAAGAAAGAAAGAAAGAAAGAAAGAAAGAAAGAAAGAAAGAAAGAAAGAAAGAAAGAAAGAAAGAGAAAGAAAGAAAGAAAGAAAGAAAGAAAGAAAGAAAGAAAGAAAGAAGGACTAAGGAAGGAAGGAAGAGAAAAAAGAAAGAACTAAGGAAGGAAGAGAAAGAAAGGAAGAAAGAAAGAAAGAAAGACAGAGAAAGATGAAGAAAGGAAGAGAAAGAAAGAAAGAAAGAGAGAGAAAGGAAAAGAAAGAAAGGAAAAAGAAAAGAGAGAAAGAAAGAAAAAGAGAGAGAAGGAAGGAAGGAAGGACTAAGGAAGGAAGGAAGAGAAAGAAAGAAGGAGGGAAGGAAGGAAGGAAGAACTAAGGAAGGAAGAGAAAGAAAAAAAGACGAAGAAAGGAAGAGAAAGAAAGAAAGAGAGAGAGAAAGAAAAAGAAATAAAAAAGAAAAGAAAAAGAAAGAAAAAGAGAGAGAAAGAAGGAAGGAAGGACTAAGGAAGGAAGGAAGAGAAAGAAAGAAAGAGAGAAGGAAGGAAGGAAGGAAGGAAGAACTAAGGAAGGAAGAGAAAGAAAGAGAAAGAAAGAAAGAAAGAGAAAGAAAGAAAGAAAGAAAGAAAGAAAGAAAGAAAGAAAGAAAGAAAGAAAGAAAGAAAGAAAAAAAAAGAAAGCTTACGAAGGTTGGAGCAGTGTCAGAAAATACGATAAAAATTATCATACCAATAAGAATAAAAGCAATAAAACATCATCATGGTAATATAAGCAAAAAAGGCGGAAAGTATAATCAACAGTCAGATCAAATTGATCTTCTCCCTCTAATGTTGACATGTTTCTCCCCAAAAGCTTTCTAACTGATTCAGGGCAATCAATCATTTCTGCTAGAGACAGTTTCTAAGTGCTGGTTGCTTTTCAGAGAGGCTCTGATGTTGGACCTGGGAGGGGACGGTCAACAGGCACATGGTAGAGCCTCCCTGAGCAGTGACTGTCTACCTTAGAATACCAAAGGCCACCAAAAAAAAACAGGGAAAGGCAATGGAGCTGCATAGATAAAAAGGGATTTTTCTGTATGTGCTGTCAAAGAGGGGAACAGATGGCAGGTAGTCCTGGACTTACGACTGTAATTCAGCCCGTGCCGGTCGTTAAGTGGGTCATCACATAGCCGACCTAATTTTTTGCAGCGGTCATTAAACAAATCCACAGTCATTAAGCGGAAACCATTGTTCACGATGGGTGTTTGGTGCTGGAGTATGGTAAGTATCTTTTGGGGGGAGGTCCATTCTGGCTGGGGAATTCTGGGAGTTGAAGATCACCCCTCTTAAAGCATGCTGGGCTGGGGAATTCTGGGAGTTGAAGTCCACCCACTTTAAAGATTGCTGGCTGGGGAATTCTGGGAGTTGAAGTCCACCCACCTTAAAGATTGCTGATTGGGGAATTCTGGGAGTTGAAGCCCACCCCTCTTAAAGTTGCCAAGGTTGAGAGACCCTGATCTGTAGATAGTCTCTTTCCGCCGTCCACCCCGTCCTCTTTCCTTTGTCTTCAACATTGTTGGGGCTGCACGAAGCTCAGTCTCTCCACCATATTCCTATGGAGAAGACTTGCACAGCCACAAACCCTCATTAAAGAAATGGGTTGGTCTTCAAAACACCACACAAGGCACGTTGTCGGTTTATGGTACCAACCTGACCTGGCTCTCTCCTGCGGAACCTCTTCTATGACCTCTTTGTTGCTTTTGTCCCACTTGGAAGAAGGTTATCAAGACAGGAAGAAGGTCAAAACTGGGGGATTTTGGCGTGCCTTCTAAACCCTCTGGAGATATTTCCTCAAGTTCCTGCCAAACGTCCGTCTCTCTTCGCCTTCCGTTTTCCACTCAGAAGATGGAGTCCGCTTGGTGCTTCCTGTCCAAGAACACCCACCCACCTTGCTTATCGTCCTCCCCCGTCTTTCCCCCCTCCCATCTTATCTATCAAAACCATTTGCCACTTCCGAAGACCGTTGGAGCTACCAGATCCCAGACGTCGGTAGAAGACACCAGGCTCGGCGTAGACATCATGGGTAACTGCATTCACGGAGTGAGTCTTTCCAAGGCTTTTGAGGTCTTTTATGGTGGGGGGCCTGGGAGGAAGAGGGGCGAGGGTACTACTATCATGTAACGATGATGAAGCTTATGACTGGCACAGCGTCCCCACAATTTATGTGCCTGAAAACCGGTATGTATTTACAAGGGTTGCAGCGTCCCGTGATCCCCATTTGCCCCCTTTCCAGGGCCTTCCAGCCAGAAAAGTCAATGGGGGGGAGCCATTCGCTTAACGACCATGTGATTCACTTAACAACTGCAGTGATTCACTTAACAACCGCAGCAAAAAGGTGTGGGTGAGAGCTTAGCAACAGACGTTCTGGTCCCAATTGTAGTCGTAAATTGAGGACTACCGATAGTGGTGAAAGAGCTGGACTAGGAGTCTGGAGTCCTGGATTCAACTCCTGCCTTGGCCATGGAAAGTCCATTGGTGCTTTTAGCTAGTTACATTCTTTCTTTCTTTCTTTCTTTCTTCCTTTCTCTCTCTCTTCCTCTCTCCCTCCCTCCCTCTCCCCCTCTTCCTTTTCTCTCTCTCTCTGTCTCTCTCTGTTTCTCTTTTTTTCTCTCTTTCTGTCTCTCTGTTTCTCTCTCTGTGTTTTTCTCTCTTTCTGTCTGTCTCTCTGTTTCTTTCTCTGTCTCTCTCTCTCTGTTTTTCTCTCCTTTTTGTCTGTCTCTCTGTTTCTCTCTGTGTTTTTCTCTTGTTCTCTGTCTTTCTGTCTGTTTCTTTCTCTCTGTCTCTCTGTCTCTCTCTCTGTGTTTCTGTCTCTGTTTTTTTCTTGTTCTGCCTCTGTGTGTGTGTGTGTCTCTCTCTCTGTTTCTCTGTTTTTCTCTCTTTCTGTCTCTTTCTCTCTCTGTGTGTATCTCTCTGTTTCTTTGTCTCTTTGTTTTTCTCTCTATGTGTTTCTCTCTCAGACAAGTGACTGTCCAGCCGCTTCTTAAAAACCTCCAGTGATGGAGCGCCCACGATTTCTGGTGGCAAGCTGTTCCACTGCTTCATTGTCCTCACTGTCAGGAAGTTTCTCCTTAATTCCAGGTTGCTTACGACTTTTACGACGAGTTTCAGAGAAGCAAAGATACGTGGGGTTTTGGGTTGTGTTTTTTTTTTTTTTTTGCTTCGACCAAAAAAGAAAAATGGATTCTGAACCTTTTCAAAAGTCAAATTCCACAGTTAGCCTCAAACCATCCAGTAAATTAATTTACGTTTGGAACTCTTCTTTCAAATCTGACATTAAACTTTCTGGGGCTTACCAAATAATCATGAAAAGAAGGCAAAATTTCTTCGCTGGAGCCTGTGACCTTCCCGCGCAGACAGCAAAAATGAAAGAATTATGCAACTTGATACAAGACAGGTATACGTGCCCCTAATTGTAGCAGGCTTCAGAAATATATAGACCTTCCAAATCGGTATTTAAATGGAAATTTTATATGTTATGAGCTGAAAGAAAGAAAAGCTTCCCCCCCCCCCCATCAAATCTCCCAGAAATAACAGTATTGATATACGGTAACACAAAAACGGCAAACAGAAGCTAGACGATCGATCTAATAAAAGTCTGAGATATCAGCAAACAAAATGATATGATATTATTAAAGAAAGCCAAATCCCTTGGCTTTTGTGCAAGCAATCCTCGTGTTACGACCGCAATAGAGCCTGCCCATTACGGTCATCAAGCAAGCCAGATATGACCAACCTGATTTTATGCCCTTTTTTGCAGCTGTCGTTGAGTGAATCCTCGTTCGTTAAGCGAACACCCTGGTCGTTAAGCAAATCAATGGGCTGAGTTTTGCTGAAATTCAGAAGTCAATGTTGACTTTCAGCAAAAAAAAAGTCGTAAAACAGGGTCAGGTGACTGCGTCAGGGTCAGGTTACGGCTGCAAACGGCCGTAAAACGCGACTCGGAGGCTGAAGAGACCGATCCAGGTTGTAAGACCCCCCCCCAGATAAGACTGTTGGAACTTCGAACAGTCACTAAGCGAATCCGTCGTAAGTCGAGGACTATCTGCAAACAGTTCCTCAATTTGCACAAATGCGTGTGCGAGGGGAACCCACCTGGGGGGCACAAGGGAGGAGCAATTTTTATTTTGGTTTGGCTGAAGCCCTGGTGCTCCGCAAGGACAGGCTCGGATTTTGCAAAAACATTAGCAGATTAGTGTGCAAATTAAGTGTGCAAAAAAAGAGTGCAACAGCCTGGTTACCCACACCGATCATAGGCAAGAGGCAAATTCCCAGCAGTGTAACCATTGGCCAGGTGGAAAGGCACGAAATACGGGTCTAGCCATACGTTTTGGATATGTTATCCTGGTAGAGCCTCCACGTTCAGGGGTAGTTTACCTTAGCGTGTCATTTACCGGGAGAAAAAACATCAAGAGAAGCCGCTGCCGGTTCGGCCTCCAGGCAGATTGGCGTGCAAGTGAAATTGTACTAAGCTAAGGGGGAGCTCCAGTCTGGTCCAGAACGACTTATCTTCACGATGTTCTGCGCCGCTTCTGGAATGTGACTGTAAAGCTGTTCATTATGTTACGCTGCGTTCTATATTTCACTGTTTTTATTAGGTTTGCAATCTAGCCATTTTATGGTATTTTAATGATGTTCCTGCTTGGGAAAGCAGCTTGAGCTCTTTTTAAATTAAAAGATGGGGTAGAAATATATTTGTGAAGGAGTCAAATGGGAGGGAGGGAGGGAGGGAGGGAGG